CTATATTATGGTTATTATTACTTAAAAATATACTAATTTTAAGTAATAAATGCTTCTGTTACAGGAAAAATGTTAGCCATTTTACCACTATTGTCTCTTTATAGCCAATAAATAGATACATCAAGGTCCATACCTTTACCAAGCTTATACTGTACTGATATGTTTAAAAGGTTATTCATCTTTCTATAGGTATGAGGGACTAAATATTAGTTATTTGATAAATTCTCACAACAAATAACGGGTTTGTTTATAAATATTATGTCTCAGGGTACCAAAAAATATTTTTAAAAAGATAAGAGTTGGAAGGTCAAAGTTAATAAAATTAAGATGGCTGGATATTTCCAGAATGGAAGAAATAATAAAAATGTTTAAGCAAGTTTGTTAAAAGTCTGAGTAAATTGATAGAAATACCAGGTTATTATTGTTGTTACAATAATTACTGTTACAGCAAAAAAAAATTTCAGTCTACTCCTCTGACTTGTGCTACACACCTAGTCTGAGTCTAGAATTAAATGGATGCAAACAAGCATTGGAGTTACCTGTAACAGCTAAAAATGTCCTTTTATGTTTCTCTGTATTATACAAGTGTTACTTTTAGTGTTTTCCTTCACCCATAACAAAATAATTTGGCTCATAAAAACTAGGTTTTCCTTCCCAGAACCAAATGGGACAGTCCAAAGGAAAACAATTTCGTTCCATGGGTTTGATCTAAATCCAGATCAGTTTATTTCCTGTCTGTAGGTGTGTTATATGACCCACCCCACCCCACCCCTCACTTCACCCAGAGTAAACAAAAGTAGCCACATAAAAACTACATCCTTGTTCTTCTTTTCTCTTTCTTTTTTATGTCTTCAGGGTCTGGAGATAGACCTGAAGGAATTATTTTGAATCCCTTTCCTGGTCTATGCCTACTTGATCTGTAATGTTAAATCTTTTCCATTCATTGTTTATTTAAAAATGTTTTAAGTTTTTGCTCAAGTTTTATCCACATATTACACAGTAATCAAAGGTACCAGACTGGTGCAACTAACCTTCTTGGATGTTTAAAACCCATACTTAGAGGACTATATTAATCTGGTCAAAGGAGTTTAAGGGGCAGTTTTGTTCCTTGCCTTCCAAGGTCAACTAAGTCCCAGGGAAATACGGGGCATCTCTCAAAATGTCCTGTAACTGTGGTAAGTCACCTGTCCTTTGTTCAGGGAGGTCACGGAGACCCCACTAGAGGGACTCAAGCCAGTGTCCAGTCTACAAGGAGGAGGGTCAGCACAGGAAAACGTTTCTCCATGCTTCCAGGCAAAGCCAGGGTCGAGCAGGACCGCCTGACTTATCCTCACATAGATGGAACTGGTAAAAGGAAAGCCAAAGGAGCCAGGGGCTCCCCCCAAAGCCCAAGTGATCCCTAAGGACCACAGCATCAACTGACCTTCACAATACAACAAAAACTTGGTTTAATTTGGGCCAGCTGTATGGTCTTAAATACCCAAAAGGAAAGTATAACCAAAAATTAAAATAATCAGTATATTTCTTTTAAACTCCAAAAAAATTATACTTCCTAGACATTAGATTTAAAAGTTCATATACAATATTATTTACAAATTCCCACTAGAATTTTTTGCACCACCTACAGCCAAGGGAGAACAGGTCCACTATTGTTCTTATCAAGATTAAATGATAACTAAATTTCTTCTCGCTCCCTGACTATAGAAGCCATCTGGGAGGAAGCTCACAATGTGATTCAAGCCACTCCAACAGCTATAAAAGTGCTTGAAAAGCAATCCTGAGTCCAGCTGTGACACCCAGAAAAAGAATATGGCCAAGTGAATGGATGTTCTTGGAAGCCTCCATCAAGAAACTCTAATAAACTTTAATGTGGACATTTATTTCTCCTGGTTCCCCACCTAAAACATGTGCCTAACTATACTTCTCCTTCATATCTCCTCCCAGACACCAGTCAAGGACTAACAGTTATATGCTTTGGGGTTTTTTGTTTTTTTGTTTTTGTTTTTTAGATAGACCCACTGAAGGAGGACCCCTGTTGCCACATTCTTCACCCCTGTTCAGCATGGAAGAAGCCAGAATGACTCGATACCCAAATTCCCTATTGATAACTAGGGTTACCTCTCCAGAAGAAGGAGTTAGGGTAGAGACCCCAAAAGAATAATGACAAGTTTATTCCCAGATGAGAACTGGACTGGCCAGCTCATCTTCCGATCCCTTCCTTACACTATGCTTAATTCTATTGTCTCCAAAAATTCTTACAAAATCTCCTGATTGAGCAGCCTGTATGACTGCCCAAGCCTCTACTTGAGACCAAATTAAGGCTATGCTCCTTCTCCATGCTACCTGAAAGCTTCTCAGGAACCAAATTTCCCTGAGACGAACGGCTTGCTGACCCACTGAAGAAAAACTCTGTCACCTGTACTGACCTAATCCTCTCTTCAGTCAGCTGAGGGATCCTCAAAGTAATTAATGCCTGGACCTGTCACCGATTGAGAGTCCCTTACTGACACAAAAACTGTGACTTCAAGGAACCTTTATGTCCCATACCCAGGCCTTGATCCAGTTTTTCCTCACTGTGCCTGTATCTTCTTATTTCCCCCAAAGTAGTGTGCCCCTCTTTCAATGACATCCCCTGCCCTCTCTTTTTTTTTATATGCCCCCAGGGTCTGGAATGATAGAATATGCAAACCTCAGAAAAACCATGAGCTTCATTAAAGGAAGCCATAAAGGCATAAAACCATCAGAGTGGCCAGAAAGGCTCTAAATTGTAAAAGTACAAAGCTTCCCCAGTGACCTAACAGTTATAGATTAAAGATGTGGCTCTGTTCATCCCTTATCAGCTGGTCACTCCCAAGCCTGAGAGGAAATATTTGTGGAGCCCACCTGTCTCCTCTAAGGCCATAGATAACATTCCCGCCAGTTCCTGGGTAAATAATCTTGAGAAGGAGACCTTTAAGCCGGGGCACTAACTTGACTCCCCACTAAGTGCAGTTGTGTCCCACAACCCTGGTATAAAGACCCCCGGTTTCTTTGTCTAGTTGTAGATGCTCAGTTCCCGCAGACAGCCTCTACCTCTCACTGTATCTTTGAATAAAGGAGGATATAGTCCTTGCCTGTTATAGTCTGGCTCTGGTTTCTTGTTTCCTACTCCTCTATCTTTTCTTTTATCTTCCAAAATATCTAACAGCAAGAGCCTTGTTGAGGTTGATGGTGGAACACACTAATAGGAAAACCTATAAATAGCCCATCTCCACTACTTGATCTTTTGAACAATTCCAAGAGGAGGAGGAGAATGCAGAAGCAATAGCTGAGACATTGTGATGTAGGATATGGATCTCCTATATACCATACCTATATATTAATACATGATCACACAGTTTTCAGCCACAGTCCCTGGTTCATAACTCCTTCCCCAAGTTAGACTACATACAGAAATTACCATTTCTTTTCCTGAGGAAATAGCCCCAACTGGCCTGGCATTCACTATGTAGACCAGGCTGGTCTCAATCTCACAAAGACCTTCTTGTGTCTGCCTCCCAAGTGTTGGGACAAAAGGAGTGTGCTGCCATGCCCAGCCCCCCAAACTTTCTGTATTGGTTCTGGCCATAATGAAATTTTCTGAACTACCTTGTCTAATAATGGATCATAACCCTCCCATTTCAGAAGTGATGCTGCCCAGGTCTAGGAGGAAGGAAGGAATGCTGCTCAGAGGCCAAGAATAATCTGAACCAACAAGGCTTGCTGGGGTTCCCCACTCAGCCTATTAGCATTAGATCTGCATGGTTGTCTGGGCTTCCATTGTATTTGTGCTATATAAACCCCAGAGGGCTTCCAGATGGTTGAACATGTGGAGGTTGCTGGAAGGTGGGGGTGCCCAGGGGAGGCAGAGACGCTCCACACTCCTTCCCTCCTATGCGCCTCTCCTCATTTACCCAAGTAAATGTTTCCCTGGGTTTTGTGAATAACTCTAGCAAATCAGTCAAACTTAGGAGGGGGTTGTGGGAACTCTGATTTGTAGCCACTCTGTGAGATGCAAAGGTAAAGCAACCTGGGACTTGTGACTGGCATCAGAAGTCTTGGGGACCAAGCCTCCAACCTGTGGGATCTGATGCTATCTCTAGGTAGAGACGGTTGGCACTGGATCAGACTAGAGAACACCTAGCTGATATCCAGCTGCAGCATAGTTTGCCTAGTGGGTGGAGAACTCTGCTCAACCTGGTGTCAGAAGCATGTTATGACAGGTCAGTTAAAGAAATCAAGTTTGAGTTTGATTTTGTTTTCTTTCCCTTTAGTGCCTCTCATCAAGCCGTCCACAGCAGAAATAATCCCGTGCCTTAGCTGAAAGGTGAGGCATTGGGTATGTGATGAATGCACACAGCTCCATAAAAAAGCAACATGGTTTAACCACTCTGTTCCCCCAAATGAAGCCCATCTAGGACCATTGTTTTCATGCACCCAATTGAGAGCCAGAGGTTCACAGGACATTTAAAACAGCAGGAACTAGACTTTCAGGGCTAATAGATGTTCAGATCTACTAAAGACAGGAGGCATGAGATGAAGATCTGAGAGCCCTGGCTCAGGAAGCCCCATGAAACACTGCAACATCTTACTGCCGAGGAGAGGTCGCATCATTCCATGCCAATCTCACTACACGGAGCACCATTCAGTAACCCCTCACCCCAACTTTCTGAGTGACCCTGCATATCTGCATTAAGCCTGGATTCCTAAACAGCACAGATGAGAAAGGTTTATGGCAACTTTAAGCCTGGAGAATTTATGATTCTGCTCCTTTTCAGGTACAGAAAAGCCTTCTTGCCCTGCAGCGAATTTAGTCACTCCTTTTTATAATAGACAGGGAAAAATTGCCACATGGTAGCCAAATCTGGCACCAAAAAATGGCCCAGGAAGAAAAGTCTAAATCCAGTGCTTATGTTCTAAGAAGTCTTTAGGAAATTTCATCATTCACTTTATAGGAACCAGAAAACATGAATAAGTCTTACCTGCTGTGTGCCTTGGCCTCCTATGGCAGCTAGAGAGTTGTTCTGCTTGGAGGAGTTGGTCTTTTATATCTTCCCACAAGAATTTACCTATGGGAAAGGCCCAGAGGGAAGGATTTTGAGTGGTTGAAGTGGCTTGGAGGACACACTCAGACTCAGCAGGAAACACCCTGGGATTCTAGGTAGATGCAACGAGGAAACTGTAGGGTGATAGGGAATGGGTGATGCAATATCGTTGACTGGGCAAAGTAACTCCTCTTCCTACTTTCCAGCATAAATCTGCTATTGTCATCTAGCCCCAAAAGGTGAAATTCCAAGCCCTGTGCATGCTCAACTCCTAACTCCCAGTGGGTTCTGAAATGCCCTTAAAACTAGGTATATGCTGGGCATGGTAGTAATGCCTTTCATCTCAGCACTCAGGAGGCAGAGGTAAACAACGTTAACTTTGGGAGGGGGTTAAAAATTTCAAAATATTTGATTTTTTTAAGGAAGCCACCAGAGAGATAAGACAAGCCCTGACCTGTCATCAGGATGGTAGGTTTCAGTCCCCACAAATCACTTCATCTTCTGGTACCTTACATTTCCCAGTAGTAGGCTGGAGAGATTGCTCTGTGGTTAAGAGCACTGGCTGCTCTTGCAGAGGACCTGAGTTCAGTTCTCAGCACCCACATGGTGGCTAACAAATCTCTGTAACTCCAGTTCCAGGGGATCTGACTCCCTCTTCTGGCCCCCATGGGCATGATATGGGTGTACTTACACACATGCAGGCAAAACATTCATACACATAAAATAAATAAATAAAATTTCCAGTAGTGAAATCAAAGGTCAGTTTAGATAATTATGATTCTTCATGGTTTTAACAGGATATCCCATTAACAATACCATGATCCTAGAAATTATTGATGGAAAGCCCAGGGATTAATATCATATAACTTCTATGTCAATGACTTGGAAATATCGAGTTCATTAGATCATAAGAGAAGGTTATAGGAAGAGTCACAGAAAACAAAATTTCATGAACATGTATCATATAAGATAGACAACTTAAAACATAGCCTCTACAAAATCGAACTTTGGATTGTAAAGTCTGAGAGAACGTTCACCCACCAAAACCTGGGCCCTTTGCTTTACCTTCAGAAAAGAGATGTCCCATTTCATATTGTTGAACTATATCTAAAGACTATTTTTCTTTTCTTTTTCTTTCTTTTTGTTCTTGATATAAAGTCTCATTATCACCCAGGCTGTCATGAATCACATTAGTAGCCCAGGTCGGTCTCAAACTCACGGCAATCTTCTTGTCTCTGCTTCCACAGTGCTGGGACTATAGATATTAGCCTCTGCACCTATCTTAAGGACTATTTCTCTTATGAAGAATCCAGGCAAAAGAGACGGAAGTCTCAGAAGAAGGCTGCTACCCAGAAAAGGGGAACAAATGTCAGGTCTTTGTGTTTCTTTGAAATATATTTGGTCAAGCTTTGTTCCTTCACATCAGTTCCCTGAATGTTGGAGCCTATTTCTAGTTTTATGATTATGGGTTTGGAAAGCTATGTCTTTAAATGAATTTTGGTTTTTGGTGGTGGTACTTGGGATCAATCTCAGGCCTGGGGAATGCTATGGAAGTACTCTACTACCAAGAAATTTCTAGAAGTTTCTATGGTATAATACTGCTTCCTAATGTGTATTATATGTTGAGCTATTGCAGTCAAAGTCACAGAAAATGCAAATCTGACCATTTCTAGGTCATTAGCATGGCATCATTTGATGTACTATAGTCTAGATTTGGCCAGGGATAGAACAGCATCAGCACCATCCCAGTATGGCCCATCCTTTGATGCTGGTATGAGGTATTACTTGACATCAAGTGACATGCCATTGTCTGGTAGCAAACTGGCATCTTCATAGCTTTGCTGACATACTGATGGCATGTTAACATGACAAATCTTTACCCAAATTTTTAGCACAAGTAGCTATCTCTCCAACAGAGAATCATCAAATTGATCTGAGAAATGGAAATTAGGAGACAGAAAGTTCAGGAGAAAAATGTCAGAAGCTTCTCAAATCAGCACAGAGATTTGAGTTAATTAATTAATTAAATGATTAGTTAATTTATGGTCTTTTTAAGACAGGGTCTCCCTGTAGCCCCAGCTGGCTTAGAATGTGTTATGTAAACCAGACTGGCCTTGAACTCACAGAGATCCACCTGCCTCTTCCTCCCAAGTGCTCGGATTAAAAGCGTGCACACCACGCCCAGCCTCCGAGTATATTTTATTTTTTAAAATATATTTTATTTATTATTTTTTATTTTATGTGTATGAGTGTTTTGCCTGCACATGTGTAAGTGCACTCATGTTGTGCAATGCCTGTGGAGGTCAGAAGAGGGCATTGGATTTCCCTGGAACTGGAGTTACAGACATTTGTTAGCCACCATGTGGGTGCTGGGAATCAAACCCCAGATCCTCTGCAAAAGCAGCTAGTGTTTTTAACCACTGAGCCATCAGCCCCAGATTTGAGTATATTTTAGCAGCAACAACAGCAGAAACAGAGAGCCTCCTATGAAGATACAATGCAGAGAGTACACCCCTGTGTTACTGGCACAGGGCCCCACACTACATACATAGACACATACACACATTCCAGGAATTCCGTTTGTAAATGAAATTGGCTTCAGACATGGTTTGCTTACCTCCATTTCCTTCCAGAATGAGAGCTGTGTACCTTACACTCACCTTTGGCAGGTCAAGGGGACACCTATGGTCAATAGTAGAGTAACTTGTTTTCTTGGGATGATTGGAGCCTTCACACTGGGCCATGGCCTCCCAGCCATTCCCGCTATGTCAGACTTCATCTCTTCCCTTGTTGTGTTTCACCTTTCTCCCACTGGCTTGGCAATCATTTGATACAGAGCAGGCTACTTTTCTGTTTGTGCTAAAACGCATTTCCTCTTGTTGATTTCCTAGAACAATAAACAAATAGACTTCCTGAGGAAGGCCTCATAGGCCAATGTCACCTCTTTGGAACTCATCTACTTGTCCTACCTCTAAGAATGGAGGATCTCAGGTGCTCTGACTTATGCCATCCCTGGCCTCCAGAGCAGTGCGAACATAACAAAACTCTGAATAGGGTCCCTGAGCAGCAAAGACCCTGCAAGCAGACAGGAACAGTGCCAGGTGGCTCCCGTCAGAGGAGGAATTTGTAGGCAAGACAAATAAATGTAAGTGTCTGAAACAAATTGTGTGTGTGTGTGTGTGTGTGTGTGTATTTTCCCTAGAGACAGAAAAGGGCTCTATTGTCTTCTCTGAGTTGTTTTTATAGGAGGATTGATCAGCTCACTGGGGCTTCTGCGAGTGGTATAACACAGCATAAAGGTTTTGAGCAGCAAAGTCATTATCAGTGAGTTTTTCAAGTTTATCACAGCCTGTTGAGACTGAAGGCCAGTCTTGTCCAAAGCCTTCCTGGCACCAGCCCATTAGGTAGGGGAAATTCCTAAGAACTTCCCGGCAGGAGGACAGAATGGTGCCCCTTCCTGCTCTTCAGAAAATACCACTTCTTTTCAGTCAAGGCCTCTCTTTCAGTTCTTATCCATGTTTTGCTTCTCCTTCCTCTTAAATATTTATTGAGCTTAGTATTATGTGCACCCTATTTTTTTCTTTCTTCTGTTCCTCCTTCTCCCAAGCCAGCTTACAAATTATGAATTTTAATAAGCTTACTTCAAATGGAAGAGGTGTCAGATCTGTTCCGTGACTTATCATAGTAATACAGAAAAGGGACTGGGAAAAGTGACAAATCTCAGAGCTCAGCCAAGGCAACTTACCCCAAATAAATCCTAAAATGGTTAGGGTAGAAATGAGGCAGTAAGCCAACTATCATATAAATCACAAATAAACGTAAGACTTTAAACAAAAAAACCCCACCTCAATCTTATTGTTGCTACTGCCATTCTCTGAGGAGTCTGATGATATGCTTAATGGTAAAGCCATAGAGAAAATATTTCAATAAAACGCCACATTTCTAGGTTGAGAATGTAGCTCAGTTAATATAGTGCTTGCCTATAATGCACAAAACCCTGAGTTTGATCCCCAGCACCATATAAACCACGCGTGGTGACACGTGCTTATAATTCCAGCACTTGAGAGTTGGAGGCAGGATGATCAGGAGTTCAAGTTCATCCTCGGCTACAGAGGGAGTTTGAGGTCAGCCTGGACCTCGTCTTGAAAAGAAAAAGCCTCGTCTCAAGCAGGCACATGTAAGCCAACAGTAGAAATACAAGGAGTACCGGATCATTAAACTCAGCAAGTCACGTTCTAGTCTCAGCTTGCCACTCTCTGGCCATGTGACTTTGGAGAAATCACTGTACTCAGAGGCTTCAGTTTCCGTATCTGTAAGGAATAGACACATTGAATGACTGTGGTGGTTCCCTTGGGCTCTGGTGACTAGAATTCTGTCATGAACCATCAGCTGTAGGACATCCCAGCTCCAGCCTGCCCCTGCTCCATTGTACAAGCCTGTCCAAGACATTTCCTGGGCTCTCTACACAAAAATGATCAGAATTCTGTTATCAACTGGACCAGCTGAGACATAGTAGGGGACAGTTCTCCCAAAAGCCAATCTCCTTAGTGTCCAGGAAAGCCAGAAACTGAAGAATGAAAGAGATCTTGTTGACAAAGAGAAAGATTTTTTTTTGTCTTTTTTGAGACAGGGTCTTTTTGTAGCCCCAGCTGTCCTGGAACTATGTAGACCAGGCTGGCCTCAACCTCACAAAGATCCATCTACCACTGCCTCCCAAGTCCTGGGATTAAAGGCGTACGCCGCCACGCCTGGCAAGAAATAAAGATTTTATAGGAAATGTGGTCATTCCTCAGACCTTCAGGTTGGAAACTAGAAGATCTTTCTGGGCTCTTAAAAAAAAATTCTGCTTATTTTTATTTTATGTGTATGAGTGTTTTGCTTGTATGTAACTATACCAGGTGTGTGCAGTGCCCACGAGGCCAGAAGAAGGCATCCCAGAGCCTGGAACTATAGTTTTGGATGGTTGTTAGCCAACACGTGAGCACTGGGAACAGAGCTCAGGTCCTCTGGAAGAACACCAAGTACTTGTAACTGCTGAGCTATCTCTCCAGCCCCTCTGGGCTCTTTATCCTTCTC